GTTTGTTTCCCAGGCATCGGTGCAGGCGTTAGCTCGTCCATCTTTGGCTTCTTAACCAGAAGCACGGCCCCAGAGGACCGTGCCACTGTATTTGCTGCTTTCATGGCGTGTCGGCAGGCTGGACTTGTGATTGGTCAGTGCTTGTTTGCTTTCTTGCGACAAACATTAAAGATTGTTTAGTTATTATAAATCTTAATGGTTTTAGGTGGATAATATTCATGTAGTATCCTTTGTTTAACACAGGTCCAGCATTTAACATCTTTCTGAGGTTGTGTGATTTCCACTTGGGTCCTTTTGTAATCAATAAATACACTGCGCCCGGGGTAAGATTTAAAGCATGTCAGTATGCATTATAATAAGGTGTTTTACATTTTTCACGCATTTTTTTGCCTCCAACTGTGGAGAGCAGTGACCTTGTTCATCCATCCCTTGCAGCTGTTTATGTGTCTGCTGTGGATTCTCCTTCAATTCGTGGTTGTTTTCCTGACTGTGGACCTACCACCCGTTGAGAAGAGGAAAGCCAGGGATAGTATGACACGAAAGAACCAAGAGGAAGAGAATGAGAAAGGCCTTGTGGAAGACGTAGAAGAGAGCGATGAAGAGGGAAAGCCCCTAATAGTGTCTCAGGAGCTGATGGGGTCCTACGGCTCTGTCGTGGCTTCCAGTCCACCCAGGAACACTACGCTGAATCCGAATCCTTCACCTCATTCTCCTGTTTCACCAGCAGAGTCTTCAGGTGTCTTTAAGAATTTCAGCATATCTCGAGGTCAGTGATTCACATGATTATTGCTGGGTGCCTTGCCTGTTTGTTCATCTCTTCTTCTATTTTCTTCTTAAACAGATTGGATTGCCTTCTTGCTACAAAGCGTCTTAGTTTTATCAGCCTTGGAATGTGCAAAATTGATCTCTTACAAGTGAAGTAGCACAGTTTGTTTGTTGTTGTTGTTTCTGAACTTCCTGGTTATGAAATAGATTTTTGTCCCCTTTCTCTCTGACTTTGCTGTTGACCAATGTCTCTTTCCAGTGTTTTCATGTTTTGTCTACATGTTTTGGTTTCTTTGTATCAGAGTTCCTGAGAGAAGAGGTGATTGTGCTGCTGGCTGCCCAGTTTGTCACCTTTTTCAATCAGACAGCGCTGGAGGTGCAGATTGAAACTCACATACAAATTAAATGATCTGTTTTCAGTATATCATTTCTTGATTTTTAATCATTTTAAACCCTGTGAGAGCATACAAACTGAGTTTTATCTTGCCAACAAACATAATGACACTAAAGGATTTAACGGGCTGTGTCCTCAGACCATGGTGACCCCTCTGACGCAGAAATATTTCAGCTTTGGGGAGCTGGAGAACAGCGTGATGTACTTTCTTGGTGGTGTAGTGGTGATTGCCGGCTTCCTGTTTGTGCGCTGGCTGAGCCGCCATGTGACAGAACGGGTGATCCTCGCCATTGGTCTGTGCATGTGCAACATCTCCTGTGTCTGGTGCCTCATCTTCTTGGCTAAGCCGCTAGGTTAGACTCAACTTGAAATTATAATTTTTTTTTGATTGTTTTTTTGCTTTAGCATCTAACTCTCATGAATGCTGTTCATCTGGACGGAACATTTTCACATATAGAACTAGGTCCTTGATCTCTCACTGAGACACAGTCAAAGTAATGCTTTCTTTTTACACATATGTAATATTTAATCCTTAAAAAAGCTTTCCTGAAATCCATCTTCGAAATGTGTCATATATATTATTCACCCTTTTCCTTCCTTTGGCGTTTTGTGTTTTCTCTAGGTGGCTTTTCATGGCAGCTGACAGAGTTCATCATTGGGGTATTTCTGCAGGTTTTGGGTTTGCCGTTTGTGTCTGTTGCGCAGGTTTCTCTGTTTTCCAAAATTACAGCTGAGAAAACACAAGGTGAGAAACTGCACCATCTACTGGACAAGCAAAGGCATGACAGGGTTCTGGGGTCGTTTCGAGGGAAAAATTAGTATATCAGTGAAACTGAATGCACATTTTAAGGCCTTATAATAACCATATAAGTAAGCCCTTTGATGTGTTTTGTGCTGTGTGGGGCATTTTGCAGGTTTCAGTCAGGGAATACGTCGTTCAGTGGGGGGTCTAGCCACCATTCTGGGCCCACTATGGGCTGGAGGCCTTACCGAGAACATGTATGTCATGATGGGGATGATGACAATACTGCTGGTCCTGCTAACGGTAAGCAACAATTACAATGACAAAACAATAAGGCATCCTGTCAGAGGTTAAGTGTAAACGGGCCTTTGTTGGCTGAGAGGAATCATATTTATATCGAGGGCATAACCTGAAAAAATAAAATGATGAAAACATGAAAACTCATTTGCAATATTTTGCTTTTGAAATTTTCTTTATACAGTGTAAATAGTACATTTGGGTAGATTTAGGTTATGTGCTTCTCTTCTTTTCCTACATAAAAATATTACAAATAAAAATAATAAAAATAATACATAATACACATTTGTGCTTTTGTATTGCTTTATTTTGCCTAAATACTTCTCTCTACTTTTCATTTATTAGGAATGAATAATGCTACCTGCTTGAGAACATAATGATTAATCACCACATTCCCTTTTTACGCAAACCTTTGTTCTTGCACTAATGTGTATAAAATGAACCAGTTTCTAAAATTGGGACTCACAAAGTGTGCAAATGTGCATTTCTGTTTTATGTCAAAAAGTGATGTTTCTCATCAGTGAGTATCTGTTTAGAACAAATAAAAACCTAAAAATAGGTTTTAAGTTAAGAAAAGGAGATGCATGTTGACATGTCTAGCCAGCAGCAACTGGATTAGGTAACAAACAAGCACAACAATATCCTTTTCATGAAGTACAGGCTCACTCGTTATGAAACCCAAATGTTTAGAAGCAAACAAGACAAAACAAGGCAAAAACAACCAAATTTACTCCATCAGTTCTTCACAGACCTTTCTTTCATTATTTTCTCTGTAAAAAACAAAACAAAAAACAAAACATGGAGCTCTACCTCCCTGACACATCTGATGTAGTTTCTCAGTTATCACAGCATCAAATGTTCAGTTCTTAAAAATATTTAAACTTTTACAGATACTACCAAATGAACCCAAATGAAACATTCCCGCTTCAAACTCCAGTTCGGATTCAGGACACAGACACTATCTCTACTTTTAAGATTAGGCTTCAAACTTTCCTTTTTGATAAAGAATATATTTAGGGCTGGATCAGGTGACCCTGAACCCTCCCTTAGTTATGCTGCAATATGCTGCTGGGGGATTCCCATGATGCATTGAGTATTTCTTCTTCTGTCACCTTTCTCACTCACTATGTGTTAATCAACCTCTGTACATTAAATCATACTTGTGATTAATCTCTGGTTCTCCTCCACAGCATGTCTTCTATCCTGTCTTCCTTCTCTCACCCCAACCGGTCTCAGCATATGGCGGATCCCTAAACCTGGCTCTGGTGGAGGTTTCTTCCTGTTAAAAGGGAGTTTTTCCTTCCCACTGCCGCCAAAGTGCTTGCTCATAGGGGGTCATATGATTGTTGGGTTTTTCTCTGTATGTATTATTGTAGGGGCTTTAACTTACAATATAAAGAGCCTTGAGGCGACTGTTGTTGTGATTTGGCGTCATATAAATAAAATTGAATTGAACTGAATATTGAACTCAGCTTAGCAACTGCTAAATGATAATGACACCTGTAGCGTTGGACCCGTTAAGCATAGACAGGACACGGACGTAATGACAGCACTACTTTATTTTCGAATGTGAGTACACTGTGGTTTTTGTTTTCACTGGGACACAGACACTCCCGCTCTGCTGTCACGTCCGCTCCCTCCCACGCCACAACACCAACTAACAGACAATCTTTCTCTTTCTCTCAGTCACTTTCCACTTCAACATGAGAATAAACGTTTCTTTAACAAACGTTTTTTGTCCATTGCAGATGATGCTGGTCTACTCATACAACCGACTGGTGGAACCTGCTGCACAGGAGCAAATGGACAATTCGGAAAACGTTAATTAGCAAGTGGCTGTTAGAGGAAAAGTGGTTGAAGGAGGTACAGTTTTATTTACAACCATAATGTATGTCTTGATGCGATTCATTTCAATTCAGTTTTATTTATGGTAGTATAGTAAGTAGATGTTAGAAAGTAAATAAAAGTCTTACATACGGTCTTCTTCTGTTTCTCTCTCTCTTTAAGAACAGTGGGAGCTTCGCGATCTGTACTTTCTGTCCCTCATCAGTCTCACTTTCTGCATCAAGACCATCATGTAGAGTAGTATCACAAGCACAAAGCTCATTCTGTAAGGGTTGGATTTGTCTGTGCAGAGGCTGATCTGATGCTGTTTAGTTCACTATATTTCCTATGGAAATAAACAGAGTTCTGCTGTTCATGCAAGAGTTGGATAAAGAGGTTTGTACCAACATCCTACCTGTGCTTCAGCACATAAAACATCATGCTAACTGTTAATTTGATGAATATTCCAAATGTTTTACATTTGCATCAGAGGACCATATATGAATATTAGGGGTGCAACGATACTGGTATCGATATTGAACTGTTCGATACAGTACGCATATGTATCGAACAATACAAAATTTCTAATTTATTTTTATCAACTTTTCTTCTGACGATGCTGTCTGTGTTGTGAGCTTAGTGGATCTGCGTT